AACTCAACTAGAAGAAGAAAGAAGGGGGATGGGGGAAGAGTAACTTGCTACAATTTGATGAACTTTACTTATATTTTGGATGTAGTAGCTCAAAAGAGGGAACAAATCTTTACAGCGAGGATCACTCCCACCCCCTTGGTACACAGGGCTGACATGGATGGGCAACTTAGACATTGGCTACCCAAAATGCGGGGGCTGGTGTGGCGCTGTGGGTTAATGCACCAGACTGCAAAGCCATTTGAACTGCAACACCAGTGGTTCAAACTCACCAGCTGCTCCTTGGAAACCCTATACAGGGTCATTATGGGTCAGAACCGACTTGACGGTACTTTACATAAATGTAAGAAGTGACTGGTTTACAAGCTTTGAAGAGGGAGCCTAGTGACAGACGGGGCGGGAGAAGGTAGAATCACCACTGAATGATTTCCAATCTCTTGGGAGTAGGCTGACAAAAGGAAATGGGGATAAGACTCTTGTGGTACAACAGTGAATAATTACCATCAGAACTGACTGTGAGGGTAGGAAATGTAGAGGTAGATGTTTTTTGACAAAAGGAGGGGAGTGATTGATTTTGCAGCCTAGGAGCAGAGGTCCTTGGGACCATCAAATGAAAAGAGTGGAATGCGGGACCCTACCCAGAGAGGTAGAGACGCCAGGGATGGAGACAGAGATGATGACGTGGACAGATGGAGTGTCTGGGGACACTGAACTCAGGGACGGAGAAAGGCTGTGTGCTGATGGCCAGGGCGGGGGGCGGTGCTATGTGGTGGTTTGGTTATTTGATGATGCATGGAGGGGACTGTAATCATTGCAATGAAACGAAATACAAATAGGATGAATGTAAAACTGATATTCTTTCATGTAAACCTCACAATAAAAACTTATATTTAAAAAAAAATCTATAATAACAATGGTTGCACTATAGACCATGATTTGGGGACATGGGGGAAATAGGAATGAAGTTATTGCAGCATTCCAGGCAGAGAAGAGAAGCAAAGGCAATAAAAAGACTGGGTGTGTCAATTATAATTATCATAGTTCTTCAGTGTAGAGTAGCTTCCATTCTATTTTAATAATAAAATACATTTCTGAGATGAAAAGCACTATAACATATCATTGCTCAATGGCACAATGCTAAAAAAAAGGTGTACATACATTACTATAGCAAACATAAAAAGGGTTTATATTTATAAAATGGCCCTACCTTTACAATCCACTCCAAGTTGTTCAATTAAAAGCATAGAATTCTTATAATTAGAGCATAGCAATGCACAATCCTCAGAAGCTGTTTCAGATGACTGAGATAGATCATCAAGGTCATCCATAGAATTAATTTGCTTTTGGACCTATGAAATAAATAATATTATATCCCCAAAATATTTATATAGCATATACTGAAGTTAACAGACAGTAAATATCCATCCTTCTATATGAACAAAATCAAACTTAAAATAATTAATTTTTGTCAAAAAGATATCCATCTTCTTATATGATCAAAATCAAACTTGTTTTATTTCTTAATAAAAGAATACATTTTTGCCCAATATATATATTTTGTCAAAAA